AAATGGCTTTATAACCTTTTCCAGACTGATAGATCTCAATTACTTTCTCATTTGTACCTTTGGATCTCTGCATGATGTCTAGCTTTTGAGGATCTTTTGGGCTACTTCACTTTGTCCGGCAGGTCCTATTTAAGAGATTTCTTGATTGTGAACAGGTGCGGCAGTAATCAGGCCTGAGTGTGGCTAGAGAAATTGAACACAGGTGTGATAAACCACAGTTTTAACAGGGGGGCAAACACTTCTTCACACAGGGCCATGTAGTTTTGGATTTTGTTTTCCCTTAATAATAAAAACCTTCATTTAAAAGCTGCATGTTGTGTTTACTTGTGTTATCTTTGACTAATATTTAAATTAGTTTGATGATCTGAAACATTAAAGTGTGACAAACATGCAAAAAAGAAATAAGAAATCAGGAAGGGGGCCAACACTTTTTCACACCACTGTATATTAGTATATTATTATAGTGTTATTTTTCAATTTCACAAAGAAACGTACAGTATTTTGTCCAAGCAATAATAAAAGGACACATTTCATTTAGAATTTGTCTTAAATCTCATTTTGTAAAAAAAAAAAACGTAAATCGAATCGTGAAATCAAAATCGTGAATCGAATCGTGAGTTGAGTGAATCGTTACATCCCTAGTTGCTAAACTATTATTTATCATGTTGTACTGCACTTGTGTCCCAATTTACCGGTAAAACAGCACCCTTTGCTACAAACAACATACAATTTAAATGAGATGTGTAACTTTTTGCATGTTTGGTTGACTTAGATTTTGATGAATAGGCTACGATGTCAAGTTAGCAGTGCTAGAACTGATATTTCTTGTGTGCGCTTTGTCCATGTTTTGCATGCTTGACATCAAATTAATTATATAAGTTGCTTTGGAATACAAGTCACATTTTAAAGGTTGCATTGGCTCAAAAGTGCACTATTGAGGAAAAAACACAGAGAAGGTGTGTTACGTCACATTTTATTACAACATTCAGAAATAATGTAAAATACTGATAAATTAAATGAAAAGTTAACAGACATTATAAACACGATAAACATGTATTTTAGTTCCCCTCACTCAAACAAATCCTTTACTTTTATCACAATTCAAAACAGAAATTAAAAAATAAGTGAATTTATCAGTATTCAGAACAGAACAAGAATAAAAGATATTAGTATAAAACAAAAACATAAGTTATTGTTACATTCATTTAAAACATAAGTGCCAAGCCTAAACAATTTTTCTTAAAGCAAATCTGAAACTACCGCCTAGCTATGCAAATAAACTTGGGCTCATGTACCTCTCTCGTTCAGCACGCTTTGTGCATGTTTTGCGTGCTTAATGTTGATTGAATTAAGTCACGGCACATTTCAGATGATACAAAACATGACTTATATTCCTTAAAATGTGGTAAATGTTTTTCTGTTTTTGTCACAGTTGCTCTTGCTGCGAGGTTACGCCTTCAACCATTCGGCAGACTTCGAGACGGTACGCATGATGAAGGAGAACCTCTGCTACGTGGGATACAACATCGAGCAGGAACAGAAGCTTGCTCTGGAGACCACCGTATTGGTGGAGTCCTACACGGTCAGTTTTATGTGACACTGGGAGGAATTTTACGAACCGATTTAACACAAGCTTGCGTTCTAAAAGGGTGTTAACGGCCTGCGGGGTGAAAGTATCCTTCTTGCTGAGATGTTCGAAAGTTACACTTCAAATGTTACAGTATGTGAGGCAGACGTTTTTCTGGCTGGGGTTTTTAGTATGTGGTTTCACAAATGTCCCGCCGGGACGCATAAGTGTTCTGCGTTTCTGTGGTAATATGCTCTTTGGATTGGATTTAGCAGCAGGGAAATTCTTCAGTCTACACTTTGACATCCTGTCTGTGAGACGCCACACTCTGCTGGATTCTGATTGGCTGCTGGATGTGTGATTAAGCAGAGTGGCCTCAAGGGGGCAGCGGCAGCTCTGTGCAAAGGTCCTTCTTTACTCTGAGTTTGTAGGCATGGGTGTGGTGTTTCTGTCATTTCCTTTCTAAACCTTTTCTTTAAAAAAAGAAAGACTCAAACGAGCAAGTTTTGAAACAAGGAAGGCTGTGTGGTGTCGGAGTTGCTTAACCAGCATGTAACATCATTTCCTGCGTGGCCACAGTCCTTCCCCAGCTGGGTAGCTCTGCGTTTCCGACCTCTGGACACTCCTCAATGGGCTCTTTATATACCCATGGCCATTTTCTCATTAGTCATCGGGGTTATGCTCGGCTGTGGGTTACCCTTCAGACCTGAGACTTTGCTCAGTGCAGCCAGTCTAACAGGAATATCTCATGATCAAGGTCAATTTGAAGTAGTGAAGCATGTGATAAGAAACCAGACAAATGTTGACACGAGGTGTGGTTATATACCACAGCATTTATCAGCTAGGTTACTTATCAGAAATCATAAATACTTGCTGATGTCCTGTTGCCACTGTAGACCGTTTAATAATGCAAGTCACACTAAGATGGATGCATTAAATAAATCAAATGTGACATTAAAGTAATTTATGTTATCTTACAATAGGTTTTCTGTTTTTAAAAAAAAAGTTATTTTGAACTTTAAATTCACCAGAGAATCCTAAAATATATATACCACAGTTTCCGCAAAAAATGTAAGCAGCACAACAGTTTTCATCACTGATAATAGTAAATAAATTAATATTTTTATTCAGATAAGTGACTGTAAAGACTTTTAAATTGTTTCACAACAATTGTATTTCAAATAAATGCTTTTTTATTATGATTTTCTCAAAGAATCCTGAAAAAAAGATATAGTTTGCATAAAATATTAAGCAGCACAATTGTTTTCAACATTGATAAAAATAATAAATGTTTCTTGAGCTGCAAATCAGCATAGTAGAATGATTTCTGAAGTACATTGTGACACTTAAGACTGGAGTAATGATGCTGAAAATTCAGCTTTGCATCACAGGAGTAAATGACATTTTAAATTATATTCACATAGAAAACAGTTATTTTTAATTGTAATAATATTTCATAACATTACTGTTTTAATGCATTTTTGATCAAATAAATGCAGCCTTGGTGAGCATAAGGGACTAAAAGGGATATTAATAAAAAATAATGGTGGATTGGAAATCTCATCTAATGACGGCTTTAGGGAAGCAGTCATTTTATATAAGCAGCAATAGCATCAGAAGTTTTTTGTGACTTTTTAAAGTATTGGCAGCCCTATTTAAATGTTCAATAAAGCTCTTTATATTTATGAATTGGCAGCAGTGTTGGGTAAGTTACTTTCAAAAAGTAATTAATTTCTATTACTAATTACATCATCAATATTGTATTTAATTACTCTGTCTGAAAAGTAGTTTAGTTACTCAATAAGTAACTTAATTCAAATCGCTAATTAGGCTACATCTTAAAATCCCTATAAAACTTAAAGCATAGACAATATAAATTAAACTCTTTATACTTCAATTTGAGTCAAACATAGAATAGTTTAGCCTTTTAGCTTTAAAACATCTGTAATACTTAAACATTTTTATAAAAATGTAACCTTCTTTGGTTAACAGATAGAAATACTCTGCAAAATAACAAAAAAGCTTAAGAAAAGTTCTACAATACATTTCAGTTTGGCAAGATGTTCAGGAAAAGCCCAACTGGTAAAATCCGTTAACTAATGTAGGTAAGAATAAATTACAGAAACGATCTCCTCCACTGAATAAAGCCGCGTCAGATCGCGCTGTTCTTCTGAGGTAAATTCCGGCTTATTCCTCATAGCAGGTCTTCTTTCAAAAACAATGAAAATTTGTAACCTTCTTTGGTTAACAGATAGAAATACTCTGCAAAATAACAAAAAAGCTTAAGAAAAGTTCTACAATACATTTCAGTTTGGCAAGATGTTCAGGAAAAGCCCAACTGGTAAAATCCGTTAACTAATGTAGGTAAGAATAAATTACAGAAACGATCTCCTCCACTGAATAAAGCCGCGTCAGATCGCGCTGTTCTTCTGAGGTAAATTCCGGCTTATTCCTCATAGCAGGTCTTCTTTCAAAAACAATGAAAATTAGATGAATCTTGATTTTTTTTTTAATCTATTTTTTGTATCTAGGTGAGGGCGTTTGCACGCAGGTGACTGCATATAAAGAGCTCAGATACGGGAAAGACTGTACCTCGCTTTCATATGGATTACATAATCAGGAATATTCGTTTTCGATTTGAATTTGTTAATTTAAAAATAGACACTTCAAGCTTTCAGATACGGTAAAGACTGTACCTCACTTTAGTTTCATACGTATGACATAATTAGGAATATTCGTTTTCGATTTGAATTCATTCATTTAAAAGTAGACACTTCAAGCTTTCAGATACGGTAAAGACTGTACCTCGCTTTAGTTTCATACAGATTACATAATTGGATAATATTCGTTTTCGATTTTAATTCATTCATTTAAAAGTAGACACTTCAAGCTTTCAGATACGGGAAAGACTGCACCTCGCTTTAGTTTCATATGGGTTACATAATCAGAGAATATTCGTTTTCGATTTGAATTCGTTAATTTAAAAGAAGACACTTCAAGCTTTCTATAGACATATTTCTCATGTCTCCGTGTCAAGTATTCGCTGAGTTTGTGATGCGTAGAAAGTTGCTCACGGAGACCAAGACGGCAGAAAGCGCACCCTGTTTGTTTTGTTTATTTTACAAAAGCACAATGTTTTGTTGTTATTGTCAGTGTACACAAATAAAAGTAGGCCCTTTTTAGATTCGATTGATTTTAGTCTTATCTGTATCTGAGTATTTAGGTTTCTCTGTGAATCAGGAAAAACTGAAAGTGAACGCACCGGCGTGCAGAGGGTTAAAGACGCTGCATTCAATTTTGTCTTTAGACCGTAAATTCAGATTTCAAATTCAATATTGATTTTAGAACTGTTGAAATTATTTATAGTATGTAACTGCAATTAAATGATCTAAAAATGAACAGGAATCCCTGACTTTACTTTTTTCAGTGGATAAGTAATTTAATTACAGTAACACCCAGCACTGAATGGCAGGGTGACTGATTTAAAGTCTTAAACTTTTTTCATATTCTCTGTTCTCCAGCTCCCTGATGGCCGGGTTATTAAGGTAGGAGGGGAGCGGTTCGAGGCCCCAGAAGCTCTGTTCCAGCCCCACCTCATTAACGTGGAAGGGGTCGGAGTGGCTGAGCTTCTCTTCAACACCATTCAAGCAGCAGACATTGACACCAGGTGAGCTCTAATTCCACACCTACCAGTTGCTGGTAGGATCCTCCCTCCAGTATACACTACACAGTTATGTGACACTCATTATGTGACACTAAAATAAACAAAGCATCATCTAAAGATCGTCTTGTCGTTTCAGTAACTTCACCCTTCACCCCTCCAGTATCAGTGAAGCTCACTGTGTGTTTTTATTTGTGCTTCCCTTCTCTTTCTGTCTCTGTCCCTCAGGGCCGAGTTCTATAAACACATTGTTCTGTCAGGAGGATCCACCATGTACCCTGGTCTGCCCTCTCGACTAGAGAGGGAACTTAAACAGCTTTATCTAGAGCGGGTACTGAAGGGTGATGTTGACAAGCTCTCGGTAAGTTAGCCATTTCTATGCACGTGTAAACGTGTCACCCAGCAGACAGAAATAGCCTATTTGCATCTAAGTTTGAACTTCTTCGCAAGTAGGGCTGTGTGATATAGTGATTATTCACAATGATTTAGCAACATTGTGAAAGTGGCAAAGAGTCAGTGTTTAAATCAATGTAAAGATGGTTTACGTATAGTTCACTATAGTTGCTTTAAAAAAAAGTTTGAAGTAAGTCTGTATTTTTGGTGAGTGTCACATATCATACTGAAGGAGGAAAAATCATTCAGAGGCCTAAATTGAGCAAAATTTAGTGGAGTTGCTTATATTTATATGGCCAAAAAGTAGGAACTTCTCATAGCTTGTCATATAAATCAATGAAAGTACTTACATAAAATGCATATAGATGTCAGTTTTCTCTCTATACAGTCAAACCAAAAATTATTCACACACCAGATGTAATTTTTGATATTTTTTTACTAGTGGGTGCAGGACACTATAGTTCATTTATGTAAGTGAGGATAGCAAAATAAAGTAAGCTGTGACATATTATACCCAAAAATTCTCCATACAGTGGACTACCAGTAAAATTGATAACAATTTGGGACCAAAAATTATTCAGACACTTTGACCTGACCATGTTTTGCTTAAGTGTTTTTCTTTCATTTCTAATGCAACCTTTTTTACACCACAGACTGAACAAAATGAAGCATTGCTTAGTAACTGGTTGACCTAAATTTAACCACTGACAGCTATTCAACCGAATTCATTACATGTCTTTCTATCAAAGTTGAATGACATTATCAAGATGCATTTGTTCTGACACAGTTTAACTCTGAGATCTTGTCATATTTTATTACCATCTTCTAAACTATAGCGAATAAACTGCGATAATGTGAGAAATGCTGAAGGTGTCTGAATAATTTTTGGTTTGACTGTATCTCCAAATAATATGTCATTGTAAGATGATATTTAAATGCTTAGTTTTATGATCAAAAGTCTATAGTGTGAGGCAAAACATATAATGCAGTGCAATACAATGACGATTGATTTTTAATAAAAAATGTAAATAATGTGTAATATCAAATCAACCTAAGTTTCTTCAGTCCAGTAAATGTTCATAGTGAAATATTACTAACACTATAAAGGTTATTCTTACATTTACATGATATGCGAACCACAACCTCTCTATACAATTATACTAAAAGGCCTTTTACTTGTAAAAAAAAAAAAAATGTAATCTGTCAAGGCATGTAGTAGATTACAGATTTTTCAGCTTTTAGACACTTGAAATTTGCTTATCAAATATGATACAGTAGGCTTTATAGGGTTAAGCTGGGACAGAAGAGAGTATTTAAAAACACTCAGATGTGTCATAATGCCTCCTGTGCACCAGCAGGTGGGGCTGCATCACACCACCAAACCGCCTCGGTTACACAGGACGCCCCAGACTGCCCAGCTGAGCTCCATCTCATTTAAAACCTGGCCATTGGCCTGGAAAAGCATTTTGGGGAGCCTCCGAGTGGGCCGCATGTCGGCCCTCTATATATAGCTGATCAATTACAGATGGCATGCCCGATACGGTCGAGCGGCATGTCTGTCTGCTTATCCCCAAATTGTGTTTAAGGCAAATTAAAAAGCAATCGACTTTACACGAAGGCCTCCATGAGACCCTTTCAGCCACCTGTTTATATCCCGTTCAGGGTCTGAACACGGGCTCCGCATACACCGTACACCTCATTATTCTCCCATTTGGGTCTGCCGCTCGATTCCCAAGCGGACAGTGTGCTTTTTATGAGTATTAAAGAGATCCATTCAGAGCGTTCGCTCGTATGTGGGTCAGTGTCCGTTCTGTTCCACTCCCCTGAAATTCTGGTCACGCTGTCTATTTAATACCCCCATAGAAATTCAAGATCCGGATCGAGGACCCTCCCCGCCGCAAGCACATGGTGTTTCTGGGTGGGGCGGTGCTGGCTGACATCATGAAAGACAAGGACAACTTCTGGCTGACGCGGGAGGAGTATCAGGAAAAGGGCGTGCGCGTTCTGGAGAAGCTGGGCGTCACCGTCAGATAAACACGGAAAAAACATCCCACGACCCCGGCGTCTCTTTTACATCAGCCTGTTCTGCCAGTGAATCGTGTCATGGGGTGGGGATTTATGGGTTTGGATTATGAAGGGTGCTGGTGGTTTTCTATTGTGTTTTGTTTGGTCCTCTGTCACTGCACTGACATGTGTGACCCTGGAGCACAAAACCAGTCATAAGTAGTAAACAGTCATAAGTAGCACGAGTATATTTGTAGCAATAGCCAACAATACATAGTATGGGCCAAAATGATCGATTTTTCTTTTATGCCAAAAAATCATTAGGATATTAAGTAAAGATCATGTTCCATGAAGACATTTTCTAAATTTCTAAACTAATTTTTGATTAGTAATATGCATTGCTAAGAACTTCATTTGGATAACTTTAAAGGTGATTTTCTCAATATTTAGATTTTTTTGCACCCTCAGATTCTAGGTTTTTAAATAGTTGTATCTCGACCAAATATTGTCCTATCCTAACAAACCATACATCAATGGAAAGCTTATTGACTCTTATGACTGTTTTGTGGTCCAGGGTCACATATGTTTGTGTGCTGTTGGCACAGCAGTAGTGGCGATCAGGTCATTCCTGCTTTGCAGTACATTTTCTTCAGTCCCCTTCATATAATGTAGAATATAAATATAATTTATATCATTAATATATAATTATATATACTACCATTCAAAAGTTTGGGGTCGCAAAGATTTTATAAATAGTATTTTCTGCTCACCAAGGCTGCAGTTATTTGATCAGAAATACAGTAAAATATATAATTTTGTGAAATGTTAATAAAATTTAAAATAATTCGGTTTTATTATATTTTAAAATGTAATTTATTTCAGTGATCAGAGATGAATTTTCAGCATCATTACTCCAGTCTTCAGTGTCACATGATCCTTCAGAAATCATTCATTGTAATATGCTGATTTGCTGATTAAGAAACATTTCTGATTATTATCAATGTTGAAAACCATTTTGCTGTTTTTGTTTTTGTGGAAACCATGATACAGGATTGTTTTCAAGATTCTTTGATGAATAAAACATTTTTTTTTTAGTTTTCGTAATTATGTAAAAGTCTTTACTGTCACTTTTAATCAATATAATGTGTCCTATATATAAGTATTAATTTCTATCAAAAAAATAAATCAAAAAAATTAAATCCTACTGACCAATCTTGCAAACTTTTGAACGGTAGTGTGTACTATAAAGGACAAATTATAAATGTATATCTTGAATAAAAATTGAAACTGATTTAAAGATTAAATTCATATTAATTTTAGTTTTTGCAGCATCATGATGAAGTGTACATGGATGTTTTTGTTCATTTCACCACTTTTACTGTGTAAAGCCCCGTTCACACCAAGGACGATAACTATAAAGATAACGATATTAGCGTCCACACACCAGCGAACGATATCGTCTGTTTATTCTAAGCACACGCGCGTCTGCCGCTTTAAATTCTCGAGCTTGTTACAGCAGGATTGATTCTGATTGGCTGTAAATGTTTGTATCGTTCATCAGCTGAAAAAAATTTTCTGAAAAGGATTCCAATGATATTGTTTCTCTGTCTTTATCGGTATAGCTGTGGTGTGGACTCTGCTATTCTTTAATATTGAGAACGATTTTTAGAGCTATATCTTTATCGTTATAGTTATCGTCCTTGGTGTGAACGGGCCTTTAAGCAGAAGTTATTGTTTTTACCTTGTACTTGAGTGCTGCACTTCTAGCATGGAAAACCTTATCAATTTTATTTAGAAATAGTCATTTTGAATTTTTGAAATGTTTTAAACTAAACATTTTCATTTTCCATCCTGTTAGTCTTTTCCATTATCTGCTGAACTAACAAAACGCTAGTTCCTTACTGACGTCATCGTTTAGGAAGCGGCATCGTTTTTGTAGCAAACCCGCAGCACAAGCATCTTTAAATATTAGCAGTTAATTTACTGAAGTCTGTGATGCTTTGTAATTTATGGTTTTAACTACAGAACATGACAGAAGTCATGATATGATATGATCAAAATCACAAACAATTACTTTGAAGTGTCAATCCCTTTCTGAGCGACCTGTCAGGCAGGTTTCCTGCCATTTGTCTAAATAATTAATTTTGAATGAATGACATTTAAGTGTCTGAAATGACTTTTACAGACGCACAACAGAGTGACTGTACTGCATGTCATAAGTAGCACGAGTATATTTGTAGCAATAGCCAACAATACATAGTATGGGCCAAAATGATCGATTTTTCTTTTATGCCAAAAAATCATTAGGATATTAAGTAAAGATCATGTTCCATGAAGACATTTTCTAAATTTCTAAACTAATTTTTGATTAGTAATATGCATTGCTAAGAACTTCATTTGGATAACTTTAAAGGTGATTTTCTCAATATTTAGATTTTTTTGCACCCTCAGATTCTAGGTTTTTAAATAGTTGTATCTCGACCAAATATTGTCCTATCCTAACAAACCATACATCAATGGAAAGCTTATTGACTCTTATGACTGTTTTGTGGTCCAGGGTCACATATGTTTGTGTGCTGTTGGCACAGCAGTAGTGGCGATCAGGTCATTCCTGCTTTGCAGTACATTTTCTTCAGTCCCCTTCATATAATGTAGAATATAAATATAATTTATATCATTAATATATAATTATATATACTACCATTCAAAAGTTTGGGGTCGCAAAGATTTTATAAATAGTATTTTCTGCTCACCAAGGCTGCAGTTATTTGATCAGAAATACAGTAAAATATATAATTTTGTGAAATGTTAATAAAATTTAAAATAATTCGGTTTTATTATATTTTAAAATGTAATTTATTTCAGTGATCAGAGATGAATTTTCAGCATCATTACTCCAGTCTTCAGTGTCACATGATCCTTCAGAAATCATTCATTGTAATATGCTGATTTGCTGATTAAGAAACATTTCTGATTATTATCAATGTTGAAAACCATTTTGCTGTTTTTGTTTTTGTGGAAACCATGATACAGGATTGTTTTCAAGATTCTTTGATGAATAAAACATTTTTTTTTTAGTTTTCGTAATTATGTAAAAGTCTTTACTGTCACTTTTAATCAATATAATGTGTCCTATATATAAGTATTAATTTCTATCAAAAAAATAAATCAAAAAAATTAAATCCTACTGACCAATCTTGCAAACTTTTGAACGGTAGTGTGTACTATAAAGGACAAATTATAAATGTATATCTTGAATAAAAATTGAAACTGATTTAAAGATTAAATTCATATTAATTTTAGTTTTTGCAGCATCATGATGAAGTGTACATGGATGTTTTTGTTCATTTCACCACTTTTACTGTGTAAAGCCCCGTTCACACCAAGGACGATAACTATAAAGATAACGATATTAGCGTCCACACACCAGCGAACGATATCGTCTGTTTATTCTAAGCACACGCGCGTCTGCCGCTTTAAATTCTCGAGCTTGTTACAGCAGGATTGATTCTGATTGGCTGTAAATGTTTGTATCGTTCATCAGCTGAAAAAAATTTTCTGAAAAGGATTCCAATGATATTGTTTCTCTGTCTTTATCGGTATAGCTGTGGTGTGGACTCTGCTATTCTTTAATATTGAGAACGATTTTTAGAGCTATATCTTTATCGTTATAGTTATCGTCCTTGGTGTGAACGGGCCTTTAAGCAGAAGTTATTGTTTTTACCTTGTACTTGAGTGCTGCACTTCTAGCATGGAAAACCTTATCAATTTTATTTAGAAATAGTCATTTTGAATTTTTGAAATGTTTTAAACTAAACATTTTCATTTTCCATCCTGTTAGTCTTTTCCATTATCTGCTGAACTAACAAAACGCTAGTTCCTTACTGACGTCATCGTTTAGGAAGCGGCATCGTTTTTGTAGCAAACCCGCAGCACAAGCATCTTTAAATATTAGCAGTTAATTTACTGAAGTCTGTGATGCTTTGTAATTTATGGTTTTAACTACAGAACATGACAGAAGTCATGATATGATATGATCAAAATCACAAACAATTACTTTGAAGTGTCAATCCCTTTCTGAGCGACCTGTCAGGCAGGTTTCCTGCCATTTGTCTAAATAATTAATTTTGAATGAATGACATTTAAGTGTCTGAAATGACTTTTACAGACGCACAACAGAGTGACTGTACTGCATGACAGAAATGACCCAATCAGCGAAGAGCAATATTTAACACCAAAGCTTACGAATGTTAATGACAGGCACCATCATCACGTCTGTATTACTGCTGACTATTATAAGCTGTAATGAATCCTCGCCGCACCCCGTTCACCGTGGGATGTGTTGTACTGTATGACAGTCCGGTGACAGAGACACAGATGTGTTATCAGCAGGGTGTAATGTAAGGGCAGAAACAAAAGACTTTTCCCCCTGTTCTCTGCCAGTGTTACAACACTGGAGCTGGAGCTTTAGCCCTGTAGCTGAGGAAACCTTTCTGTCTGTCAGTGTGTCATGTGTTCGTCCAGAGTAACAAGAGGGGCTCGCGTTACTCACAAGTATTTTTATTATTTAGCATTTTTAGAGTTTGGACTGAGAGTCTGTTGGATTTTTACTAATGTTTTTATCAAGCAGACCTTCTTCAAGGTCTGCCTTTGAAAATTATTTTAGCATTCTTCAGCATACTGGTTTCAACAGCTACAACTGAAGTTTTATGTTGCTCATATATATATACATCTCAATATAAATATATATATATATATATATATATATATATATATATATACACATCTCAATATAAATATATATATATATTAAGAAGATGGGATTTGTTTGAATTCTATTAGTCCCTTTGTTATTGTAATTATTGCTGTTTTTTTACTTTTTTATTCATTTTCTCTTGCAGTGCTGTGTCTGGCAAAGAATAAAATAATAATAAACAATCTTCTGCAATATCAGTCAGACAGTTGCTTTTATTTGACTAATGCTGTTTTATGTAAATAAGGTTAGAAAGTAAATCAGATAATATTGTTTGGGACGATTGTTTTTGGACATTCATATGTGACCCTGGACCACACTGTAAAAAAATTACCTTGAATTTAACGGTAAAAGACTGTAAAAATGCTACAGTAAGAACCTGTTAAATGGTTAACGGTAAATTCCCCTACTATATATACGGTGAAAAACTGTATTGGACATTACATGTATTGGACATTAATTTTACGGTAGTATACCGTTTTGTAAGTGGAAAAAGACCGTATAATTTACAGTGAATAACCGTAAATTGACATTCCCAGAATTCCCTGCGTTACATTTCAAATTTGATGTTTTTTTGTTGAAATAACTATGTTTCTTCTTAGTTTTTTCTTATCAGTTTTGTATATTATGGTTGTGCGTTACACCTAATGTTGTTAAATTAATGTTCATTGCATTATTTCAGTTTCATGTGTGTTACCGTGATGGTGTTTAACGTTTGTGTGAATGACACTGTGCACCTTCTATATATGTTATTATTTAAAAGCTGCTTGTGATGGGCTTTGCTTCATCATGTGATTTTCTCGTCACCACCTGCATTTGGTGGTTATCAGTGTATTACAAAGGTACAAAACAGATTTCAGTACTTCAATAGGTTGGTATATTAACATTATATCAGTTATTTAAAATCAAATTACGGTATTTAAGTTAAAACCGT